TATGTAAATATGTCCGAATGTGGAGTATAAGAGTGTATGTAATAATGTCCGAATGTGAGTATAAGAGTGTATGAAATATGTCCGAATGTGAGTATAAGAGTGTATGTAATAATGTCCGAATGTGAGATGTATAAGATGTCCGAAATGTGGTATACGCGGTGTATGTAATATGTCCGAATGTGAATAAGAGTGTATGTAATATGTCCGAATGTGAGTATAAGAGTGTATGTAATATGTCCGAATGTGAGATAAGAGTGATGAAATATAAGAGTGTATGTAATATGTCCGAATGTGAGTATAAGAGTGTATGTAATATGTCCGAATGTGAGTATAAGAGTGTATGTAAATATGTCCGAATGTGAGTATAAGAGTGAATGTAATATGTGTCCGAATGTGAGACATATGTCGAATGTGAGTATAAGAGTGTATGTAATAATGTGAGTATAAGATATGTCCGAATGTGAGTATAGAGTGTATGTAATATGTCCGAATTGAGTATAAGAGTGTATGTAATATGTCCGAATGTGAGTATAAATGTGTATGTAATATGTCCGAATGTGAGTATAAGAGTGTATGTAATATGTCCGAATGTGAGTATAAGAGTGAATGAAATATGTCCCGAATGTGAGTATAAGAGTGTATGAAATAATGTCCGAATGTGAGTATAAGATGAAATATGTCCGAATGTGAGTATAAATGTATGAAATATGTCCGAATGTGAGTATAAGAGTGTATGTAATATGTCCGAATGTGAGTATAAGAGTGTATGTAATATGTCCGAATGTGAGTATAAGAGTGTATGTAATATGTCCGAATGTGAGTATAAGAGTGTATGTAAATATGTCCGAATGTGAGTATAAGAGTGTATGAAATATGTCCGAATGTGAGTATAAGAGTGAATGTATGTCCGAATGTGAGTATAAGAGTGAATGAAATATGTGATGTATAAGAGTGTATGTAATATGTCCGAATGTGAGTATAAGAATGTGTCCGAATGTATATAAGAGTGTATGAAATATGTCCGAAAATGAGTATAAGAGTGTGAGTATATGTCCGAATGTGAGTATAAGAGTGTATATGAAAATATGTGTAATATGTCCGAATGTGAGTATAAGAGTGTATGAAATATGTCCGAATGTGAGTATAAAAGTGTATGAAATATGTCCGAATGTGAGTATAAGATATGTCCGAATGTGAGTATAAGAGTGTATGTAATATGTCCGAATGTGAGTATAGAGTGTATGAGTCCCAATGTGAATGTAATATGTCCGAATGTGAGTATAAGAGTGAATGTAATATGTCCGAATGTGAGTATAAGAGTGTATGAAATATGTCCGAATGTGAGTATAAGAGTGTATGAAATATGTCCGAATGTGAGTATAAGAGTGAATGTAATATGTCCGAATGTGAGTATAAGAGTGAATGTAATATGTCCGAATGTGAGTATAAGAACTTGTTTGCCTTAAACTATGATTACAAGTAACTACAGAGAGAAAACCGGACGGATCTTAACGGTGACGAACTGGCATGGCTTATGGACTACGATTTATGGAACATAAGAGGCACTAACGGGAAGGAAAAGGAGTTAGTAGGGGAGATGAGGAAAGCGAAATTAGGAGTCTTGGCTCTGACTGAAACCAAGAAAAAGGGGCAAGGAATCACAGATCATGATGGAAGTATGCTGCACTACAGTGGTGTCCCTATCACGGAGAGAGCTAAGGGAGGTGTTGGTTGTATTGTGGCCAGGAACCAAGTTAGTAACATCAAGTTTGGAAATTTATCTCAGAGCGAATTATAGTGTTAGATCTGAAAGAAGAAGATAAAATTATCAATATTGTTATTGTGTACGGGCCAAATGAAGATGAGCGAGTAGATGTTAAAGAAGAATTCTTTGAACTGCTCCAAAGGACCATAGATGACTGTCACGATGAAATTATCCTCCTAGGAGATCTAAATGCCAGAGTAGGAAATGATTACTCTAGATGGGGTGGAGTGATCGGGAGATATGGTGAAGATGTTTTGAATGATAATGGCAAGCGACTTCTCAGATTCTGCAGGGAACAGAACCTTGTCATTACAAACACAAAATTCCCCCACAAGCATATACATGCATACACAAGATGTGAACCTTCAAAGAATGAAAAATCCATCATTGACTATGCCATAGTTAGGAAAAGTTCATTCAAGTTTGTTAGAGATGCCAGAGTCATGAGAGGACCAGAGACTGGAAGTGACCACTATCTGGTCACAATAAAGAGAACAACTGAAAGAACTGCTCCAACAAGGCAACACCATGCAAGAAACCAAGCAACCAAAAAGGGATGAGGATTAAGGCATACAAGCTCAGAGAGCCAGATATTAGGGCTAGATACCAGGAGCTTATAGTGAAAGCAATAGGAACTGAAGAAGAACCATCAGAGGACACTGAAATCCTCTGGTGCAGATTTAAGAATATCCTCACAGCAGCTGCAGTAGAAGCATGTGGTGAAGTCCCAAATGGAAGGCGGGGACATAGGACACCTTTGTGGACAGAAGAAGTCAAACTGAAAATAGGAGAAAAGAAAAGGGCATGGAAGCAATACCTGGCAGCCAGGAACACAGCTGAAGAAATAGAGAAATATAAACATGTGGCACTCAGAACAGAGACCAAAAATATTGTGCTTAAAGCAAAACAGAAATCATGGGAAGAGTTTGGAGAAAAGTTGGAAAAGAATGCAAGAGAAAATCAAAAACTGTTCTACAAGACCCTCAAGAACATGAGGAAGGAGAAAGAGTGCCCACGGAAATTCATAAAAGACAAGGAAGGGGCTCTGCTTACTTCTACAGATATCATGGGCAGATGGAAAGAATACTTCTCAGAGCTCCTTGGCGTTGAGGGAAGTCATGACCCAGAAATAATGGACCTCACTGCTGAGAAGGAAATCATCCATGAGGATGATAACATCAGAATGGTAGAGTTGAAGGCAGCTATTGAGAAGATTAAGCTGGGAAAAGCAGCAGGTCATGATGGTATAACACCAGAGATGGTCAAATATATGGGTGTCGCAGGTGAGCGGCTTTTACTGAAGGTTCTGCAGGCAGCCTGGTGTAGTAAAACTATACCAAAAGATTGGGAGATTGCCATCATTATACCTTTATTTAAAAAAGGTGATAACAGACAATTTGAAAAACACAGAGGCATATCCCTCCTCAGCGTTCCTGGTAAAAGTTACTCTAGAATTCTCGAGCAGAGACTTAGAAGTCTGGTAGAGCTACAGCTGGACAAGGCCTAGTGTGGCTTCAGAGCAAACCAAAGTACTCAAGACCTTATCTTCACACTGAGACAGATGAGTGAAAAAACCCTTGAATTTAAGAGTGAAATGCACCTATGTTTTTTGGATCTGGAAAAGGCATTTGACAAAGTACCCTGGAACAAGCTCTGGAGCTGCTTGGCGTGGAAAAACATTCCAGCAACCCTGATCAGTGCAATACAGAGTTTCTACAAAAGCTGCAGAAATTATGTAAGAAGTCAGAAGAATTTAAGACCACCAGCGGTGTTAGACAAGGTGATATTCTCTCACCTTACCTCTTCATTCTTACGATGGATGATGTCATCAAGACCTGTAAGGAGAAGACAAAGAAGTACTCAGTAGGGTACTGGAAGATGAGACCAATCTGTATATCAGAGCTGGCATTGGCAGATGATGTGGCCCTGATAGCTAAATAAGAGGCACACCTTCAGTCCAACTTACTTGTCTGGAAGGAAGAGCTTGAAAAGAGAGGGATGACCATCAGTATCTCCAAAACTAAAACCATGGTGATCTCAAGAGAGAAGAAACAACAGATCATGATGGGACAGTATGCATTGGAGCAGGTAAACCAGTTCAAATACCTTGGAGTTGTATTAGACCGAAATGGAGGCATTAAGACTGAGCTGGCTACACGAAAAGCAGCTGCTGGGAGACTCTTCCAGGCCAAGAGGAAGGTCTTGGATGCCACAAACAGAAGACAGAGAAAAGTGTATGCTTGGAAACATAAATGGGAGAGAAGAGGGGTGGGTCAAATCTGTCAGAGCAAAATTCAGGCTTGTCTATGATACTAATCACACTTGGCTGGGAGTGCAGGGATTGGCCAGCAGATGTGGCAGAATCAGCAATTCAATGATTCATGATGATTCCCAGCCAGGTGATGTGATTTTCTATACAGATGACTTTGTGCTGACAGGCAGAAGAAGTGGATGACACTTATTGCAGCAAAGCCCACCATAGGATACTACATCATCTAGTTTGAGAATGGAAGTCGAGGCAGTCACAGCAGCTTCCCTCTGGCTTGTTTACACTCTTGTCTCAAAAGATGGGAAGGTGCCAATCAATCAATCATCTGGCTTGCAAATTAGCTGCACATGCATGCCGTGATTGTAACTGACTCACATTGTTAAGAAGGTTGGTGACAGGCATGCTCTGTGCAGAGTGTTGCAAGCATCACTTCAAAGGTCCCAGTTAGTTAATATCCTCTATTTTCAATGTGGAATGCAGGTGTATTAGGAAATTAACAGGCACATCATTTGGCTGGTTCTTCTTCAGCACTTAGTGTTGAGTTGTTTCATGACAAGCAAGATGTAGCCAGGGCTTCAGCAGCAAGTGAACAATGCAGAGGAAAGTAGATGGACATGTAATCAAACTTTTGCTGGCTTCATCGGAATTGGAACTCTGCTTGCTGCTGAAGATGAGGACAGAGCACTTATGATGAGTCCCTAGTCCTGTGCCATCAGTCCTTAACTCATCAACTCAAGCCAGGTGTAGAAATATTTTTTTCCCAAAACAATTTGTTATTTATAGCAGCATTAATGGGTCAGTGGAAATTATACACCTGAAAATTGGCCTGCTTATTTTGGTCAGTTATTTAATTGCAGTTGCCTTTGGTAGATAAGTTGATTTTGTTGGCTCAAATTCCCTTAGCCCTATATAAAGCATTATAAGACTAATGTTTATAACATATCAATTGTGTGGATGTTCTCTCAGGTCCACCAAATGAAGTGGAAGATCACTTGCCCCAGGCTGTGGATGTACAATCAGCTCCACCGAAAGAAATGGAAGATCACTTGCCCCAGGCTGTGGATGTACAATCAGCTCCACCTAACAAAGTGAAAGATCAATTGCCCCAGGCTGTGGATGTACTGTCAGCTGTGAATCCAGAAGCAGAACTAGAAAGAATAATTGAACTTTTAATTAATGCCAGTAAGGTATGTAACAATAATTTTCATAAAAGTAAAAGAGGTTTGATTTCTTGGGAAGTGTTCAGTTTAGTTTCATTATCTTGAATCTGCCCTTTTGCTGATATTGTGCAGTGTTATAACTATATAGGGACATGTTTTATTACATTTTGCACAAAACATACTCCCATGTGTTTCTAAGATCAATGATTCAGTGAGTTACAAATGTGTGTTTTATGACCACATTTGCAGTTTATACTAAAATGTCAAGTTTTTATTGTGTATTGATAATAAAATCACGACATAACCTCGTCATCTTCTTTGTGGGATGCAATTTTTCATTACTTTGAAGCTTTACCCTGGCTGTTGCCAGGGGCCGCAATTTAGCCTAAAGGTTGAACATGGTTTCTGGGACCTGTCCATGGGTGACATTTTGTGTCACTGGGTGTGTATCGCTCTGTGTGATGTCCTGGTGGGGTAAAAATGTACTTACATATTAATATTAAAATCACATCCTCCAGCTTGATGATACTGATAACTGTGGTGAGAACACATGTTTGGTTATTTAGAATAAAGTGAGATAGTTTTAGGGAGTACCTTTATAGGAAACTGCAGTTGTCATAAATATTGGGTAGATGGCAGATCTTAGATGATCATTGGCTAGAGACCCGAAACCCCAGTTGAAATTAGGTCCTGTCTGTATGTAGATTTTGCTGTGTTCACATGTTGTTAGTGGTTTTGAAAGAAACCATGATAACATAAGAATTGTGTGAGAAAGTGAGCGGTGTAAATGACATATATGAACCGGCTGGAAATAAATGCGAGACAAGAAAAATTGAAGATCCTTCTCTGTGTGCTGCTTGCATGGGACCCTAGTGGTGCATCTCTTTATGCATCTATATCTAACCAGTGATTGCTATTATGAAACTTACTATTTTGGCAATGTTAACCTATGTATATTTGCTCTTTACTGTGAGCAAGTACATATGTAAGTTGTGTTGAGTTGAGGTAGTATGTTTTTCCAGAATGATTTACTTTGTGAATAGAATATAATTGGTAACTATGTGGAAACATGAACATCTAAAAGTCAACACTAGATGACTGATAGAGACAGCTGACTGAATACTGGAGGCATGAACATCTAAAAGTCAACCCTAGATGACTGTTAGAGACAGCTGACTGAATACTGGAGGCATGAACATCTACAAGTCAACCCTAGATGACTGTTAGAGACAGCTGAAGGACTACTGGAGGCATGAACATCTAAAAGTCAACCCTAGATGACTGTTAGAGACAGCTGACAGACTACTGGAGGCATGAACATCTAAAAGTCAACCCTAGATGACTGTTATAGACAGCTGACAGACTACTGGAGGCATGAACATCTAAAAGTCAACCCTAGATGACTGTTAGAGACAGCTGACAGACTACTGGAGGCATGAACATCTAAAAGTCAACCCTAGATGACTGTTAGAGACAGCTGACAGACTACTGGAGGCATGAACATCTAAAAGTCAACCCTAGATGACTGTTAGAGACAGCTGACAGACTACTGGAGGCATGAACATCTAAAAGTCAACCCTAGATGACTGTTAGAGATAGCTGACTGAATACTGGGGGCATGAACATCTAAAAGTCAACCCTAGTTGACTGTAAGAGACAGCTGACTGACTAACAGTATACCAGAGTGTAATGGCAGATAAATCAGACTGGCAGAGGGAACATGTTTTGTCCAGTCTGTGAGAATCCCTCGTGGAGTCATGTTTTGTCCAGTCTATAAGAATCCCTGGTGAAGTCATGTTTGCTTTCCTGAGCTTCCTCATGACCAAGCAGGTCCTGTTTCAGTGTGGTTTAGCTTGTACGCCCTAGGCAGTAACATCCCCTGGGCTGTGACTGATGAAACATGAAAATGATGAAATGGGAATCTGTTAAAACTCAGTTGGGCATTTCAGTGATCTCTGTAAAACTCAAAGAGAGGTAATATCCAAAATACAGAGATTTATGAAAGTGAAAGATGAACAAGGTAAAGACATGAAGAGGGTACTTGAATAAAAGTGAGTACAATGTGTTTCCCAAACCTTTTTTTTTTTTGTTGGTCGCGGCGCCATTTTTTTATTACAATTTTTCCATAGCCCCCTAACCTAAGTAAAAGTATGACGGTTTGTTTCTTGGTTAAGTTAATTATGAAGCTTTTACAGTATTTCGTGGTGCCCTTGTGAAGAGGTCATGCCTCAACTGGGCGCCATGGCGCACAGTTTGGGAATCACTGGTGTAGAGTGTGAATGACTATTATGTAGAATGTTTTTTATTGTACCAGAATCTGCAAGCTGAAGAGGCATCTTTGTTGGAAGAACTATCAAGCAGACAACCTGTGGAAGAACAGGACCAGCCTGACTCCAAGAAGCTATGTGAGTATTGGAGTGTGATACTTGTGCTGGGCCTTGGCAGTGCATGACCGTCATACTCACCACTTAACTGATATGTGCTGGCTGATAGCCTGGGTATTTCTGACTGACTTGTGCTGGCTGATAGCCTGGGTATTTCTGACTGACATGTGCTGGCTAATAGCCTGGGTATTGACTGACTGACATGTGCTGGCTAATAGCCTGGGTATTGACTGACTGACATGTGCTGGCTGATAACCTGGGTATTGACTGACTGACATGTGCTGGCTGATAACCTGGGTATTGACTGACATATTTGGAGTTGAAATAGTCCAACACTGGCTGATAGCCCGGGTTTTGACTGACATGTTTGGAGCTGAACTAGTCTAAAACTGGCTGATAGCCTGGGTATTGACTGACATGTGCTGGCTTATATATATATGCAGATATATATATATATCATCACTCCTCCTCATATTCCACATTCTATCCTATCTATTCTGAAGATCTTGTGTCTCACACTGGCATCTAACATATCTTAGACTTAGCTAGCCTCCTAACCTATGATTAACAAGATTGGAAATAATATACAAGCTTACCTGGGAACATTCCAGCAATTGCCAACCAGGAATCAAACAGCTAGACTTACTTTCTAATGTTGATCTGCCTGCTGGCAGCAATATGAAGTAAAGTCAAGATGCTAGTAGTATAAGTACCTATCTATCGCTCTTCAAAGTTAAACTCCTCCCCTTCTCTAGTTTCTAACCTACCCTACAGGAGAGGATCTAAGCCACGCCCCTGAGGTACCTTGCAGATCAAAATAACTATCAATGTGCCTGTCAGTCACTGTGGATGGTCACTACTAAGATCAAACATTCTTAATTAAGCAAATCTAGTTTACAGCCAATCTCAGAGACAGGTGTGAAATGCTGATCAGGGGACGCCATCATGTCTGGAGTTGTCTACTAGACCACGTTAATTTCCCTGATCTGGTCTGTTCAAAGGGCCCCACTCAGTCTGGTTATGTAACATTTTATGACACTCTGGCTGGCTGGTAGAACGACTAGCTAGATAAGGTAATGGGTAGTGTTAGGTAATCTCAAACCAAACTTGGTTGCTTTGTCTGACTAGAGACTGGAAACACTTTAACACTTTTCAATCCTATGTGGGTTTTTAGTATATTTATGCTTAGTGCATAGTGAATATAATTCTTTGTCTCTCAATTAACATAAGAAATTATTAAACAGAATATAACTTCTGAGGTCATTTCGTCACACCAGTTCAAATGAGATTCCATAATTACTGTTTGTCGGGATATGCTGACACTTAATTTTGACTGTTTATTGCAGTCAAACTAAACAGTGGGTAACAATTACTTTACAGTTCAGTTTTCCAAAATTTGATGTGTTTTCTGAACGTCTGGACATAAATTAAATTCATTTAGATACTATAATGTGTTACAGCGTAGGGAGCGCCTTCATGTCTGGCTGAGTATGTTTAGACCAATTGTTTCTGTGATAAATTATTTTGAAGGTTGTCTGCACAGTAGGGAATCTTTTATTGCTGTAGCACAGTTTAACTAAATATCTCGGCCTGACAACAATTGCCAATCTGTGGACTAACAATAATACTTGCTGAAATTAAACAGCCAGGTAATTACAACAGCTCTCGTAAGTTCTGTTCCATGTTGTTTCTGATAGAAGGTGGTATCCTTGGCTATGAGCAAGGGTTTCAATCCATTCTTGTTATAACTCCTGTACGAATGCTCTAACCAGAGAACAGCGTACGTACTTACACTGCCACAGTAGATTTGGAGTAAGGAAGCACAATTCTGCAACATAGCCCTAGTGAAAAGAGCACTTTGGAAGCTGGGGACAGGAGAATTCCCTGCACTGCCATCACTATCCTGTAGATTACAATGCTCTCTCAGGTCACAGCCTTCAGGCTTTGGGAAAGTTCTCAACCAGCTAGCAACCTCAGACATTTAGTGTTTCACACTGGTTGTGGTGGCTAGGTTGTACATTACAATTACAGATTGTCTGTAGTCATGAAGCATTTGCTTTTAAACTATACAAAAATGTATGTTGTTATGGTATCTTTGGACAGGCAAAAATCCACTACCAGTGCAAGAAGGTGAACAAGCACAGGATGTGTGACACAAAGTTGGAGGAAATGTGAGACATTCACTGGAGACTGCTACATTCCTTTATGAATGCTAACTGGTAGATAGGTGCATCTTCTGTATTATTGATCTTTTTATTGTTTCATTTTGAGTTTTCTGTAGCATCCTCTTTGTGTAGATGACAGCTGTTAAATGACATTGTCAGAAGAGATTGGCGTGTATGAGATACACTTGTGTGTTTTTACAGTAGATTATAAATAAATCTAGAAGCTTCCATATATTTCTGTCTCCCTGCTCACACTGTGTGACCGTCACCTTGTCCTCTATTTCACAAAGTCCTCTATGTTATGCCAAAGTTTTCCTTCTTGTGTGGGCACACTTCTTGTCTCCCTGCTCACACTGTGTGACCGTCACCTTGTCCTGACACCTCTATTTCATAAAGTCCTCTAAGCTATGCCAAAGTTTGCCTTCTTGTGTGGGCACACTTCTTCTAAAACAAATGCTTACATGTATACATAGACGTCATTTATCTGCCAACAACAGAGTGCTAGCTTCATATACCCAAATAGAGACATTAAGTAAAATGGTTTTCAAAAAAGCAATTGCATGACGTGAGTGCTCATTGCTCAAAATAATGACCAGTGCTTTTTTTGAAAAACACAAAATCTTAGTATAATAAGTTTAAGTCAGATATGTGCACCTACTTTATTTTTTTTTTTAAATAAAGATCTGGCATTGTCATTATGGAGGAGTTGTGCTAAATAAAAATATTCAGTGAAATAATACTAGCTGATGTTCCATATTTTCTGTAATAATTTGTGTGTGTTTGCAATGTCGGTCTGTCTATTGTGCATTTTGACGAGTAATACAGATCATTTGTATAGAGGTTTTCAGAATGTGGATGGACCTAACGCAGAGGGGTGTTATGACTGTTATGTGACAGTAGCAACGGAAATAATTTTATGGTTGAGGGATCACCACAATATGAGGAACTGAATTAAAGAGGTCGCGGCATTTGGGAAGTTGAGAACCTATGAAGTGAAGTTTTAATTCGACCTTGGCTGTTGGGGCAAATCTAGACTTACTGTTATCGGAGCACCATCTCTTATAGTACAATGCAGCTGATGTCCATTGAATAAGACATGGGAGTGGGGGGTTGTGAGTTAATTTAGTTGACAAATTAGTTGGTGGGAGTAATCTTTGTTGTTTGCATCCTCTGTATTGCCACTTCACTTGCTTCGACGCCAGCTTAATGCTTTTAACTAACTCTCACACTTGGAGGATACAGACAAAACATGGAGACGTGGCATAATGCTGCCTTCTTTTGCACATTGCACATATGACTGTTTTCAAGCCGGTGTTGAAACATGCACTACATCAAAAGCGACGGTCACCTGGTTCTCACCTTTTGAAAACACCAACACCGATACTAAAACGATGTGGTACTGGCGTGGAGAGATCTGATTCCATGAAATGCCTGGATATAACATTTGACAGATGACTAGCATTTAACAAACGTGTTGACCACATTATAGCCACAGTCAAGAACGGTCTCTAAGCAATCAAACTTATGGCGGACGCCAGCTTTGAGTGTTGGCTATTTGTAATGTTATATCATGGATTAGTTCTCCCCACTATTTGATAAGCACTGGCCATCATGACACTCAGCACCACACAGACGTGAACACAAAACGAATATTGAGGCAATGCGTATTGTCTTGAATGCACTAAAGAAATCACAAGTAAATCCATGCATACCTCTTGGATTTCCCCGCAAAGGGTAACAGAATCTGACTGGTAATCTTAGTTTCAGCTTCATAGCAAACAGGTCGCCCCATAGTTGCCCCGCTCCTGTGCCAACGAAAACCCACACAATATTTATCAGTCCCTTGTTGAAAGAATGACAGACTGCTGTCTCAGCGTATGCACTAGCATACACACGCAATAAAAACATACGGTAGCCATCCAAAGTGCCAACACAAACAGTCCGACATAAGAAAAGCAGTTCATCATCGAAGTCACTAACAGATCAGCAGTTACACACGCGATTAATTTTAATCACATTTTTCACAAAATGGCACCACCAATATTGCGACAACAGGCATGATCGTTGCTTTCCTCCGGGTGAAGCTAGACCGACGACGCTCACTTCATTAGGAATTATAAATAGAAATGAGAAGCCAGCCAACACGATTGCCGCCTTACTGACATTAACACTGTGTGCCTCCAAATATTAATATTACAGTCCATATCAAACTCTATAAATGCTGCAGTAATTCGACGCAAACAAAGTGCGTGGGCATAAACAGTGAGCTGGACAAACCTGGAGTTGGCAGAATATTGACATTTACAGACGATATTCTCGTATATAGGAAGGGGGGAGATCGGCATCAAATAGCTCAAGAATTACAGGCGACAGCAAATAAGGTGATCGACTGGTGTACAGAAATGAGGGCTGTAATCAAGCCAGAAAGGGCTACCGTCCTGTGGTTTTCTTTAGACAACAGGATTGTTAGAGTAAATTTTCCCAGACTACAAATAAATGGCAGGGACATTAAAAGAGACTACAGACTGCGGTACCTTGGAATCACCTTTGACAGAAGTTTGTCTTTCATGAATCACATAGAGGGAGTTGTGACAAAGGCTCAGAGAGGGCATGAATGCAGTAACGACTACGGCAGCGATGGGCATGGGACAGAGAATGCTGTTCACACTTTATCAGCACTTAAACATCTTACTGATTGATTATGGACTGGGGTTACTCACTGTCTCAAAAAGTCAGCATTTGAGCGCATACAGACTGAAGCTATCCGGGTGATCCTGGGTTATACAAGAGACACCCCGATTATGTGCATGCGATACAACCTTGCATTGCCGACTATTGCAGATAGGCTAAAGGTGCTACAGGCTACGTCATACCTCAGAGTAGCTGCAGACAGGAAACGCCCTCCGTATGAAGCTTTGGCTGCAGGTAAAGGTCAGAGGCTGAAAAGGGGAAATCGTGGATGGCTCAAGCAGAAGACACAATAAGACAAGTACGCATGCTGGAGAACATTGGACGAGGAGAGGAGTGGGTCAGAGTACCAGCGGAAAAGTCTGACCTGTGTGGGGTTATGATCACATTGGGCCGGGAGTGCAGAGAGTGGCCAGCAGGTGCTACGGAGGTGGAAGTCCAACAGTTGATTCACGACTATTCACGCCCAGATGATCTGATTATCTATCTATACAGATGGTTCGGTGATGAGATGAAAGAGAAGTGCCTGGGAGTTCGTAGCGAAAGCCAAAGGAAAATATTTAGTGCAAGACAGCCTAGCATACGACACCACAGCAACTAGCATGAGAATGGGGGTGGAGGCGGTAACTGCAGCTCTCGGATGGCTAGACAACAAGATGGATACACATGTTGTAATTGTAACAGACTCTGAAGGCACGCTGCGAAAAGTAAAGACAGGGATGCTTCGAGCAGAGTGGCAAGCTTCACTGGGCAGGTCATGGGTAGTGAGCATACTTTGGATCTATTTTCCAGCCGTGGTGGGTAATGAACAGGCAGATAGATTGGCTGGATCTGCACCACTGAGTGGTGAATTGATACATGACTAGATAGATGTGGTCAAGGCCCTTTGGGAAGAAGCAACGGAATTAGTAGAGAAAGAAAATTATTATGGCCTGGAGAGAATGAAGCGCTTGTGTGTAACCAGAGGGTCTGGCTGGCTCACTTTACTTAAAGGAAAGGCAAGACGGACACATAACCAGATTGTGACCGGTACCATCAGTATTGGAACTCTGCGCTGGCTGCTGAAGATGAGGACGGAGCATGCACTGGAATACCCCGAGTGCTGTGATGTTAATTCTTGACTCAACTTATCTCAACTCACAATGAGCTCAAGGGGGAAAGCCATCAAGGAGATGAATGGCGCTTTACAACTGGTAGCCTTACAATGGAAATAGTGGTGAAACTAAGGCATTAACATGGCTTGGAACTAATTAGTTCACATACGCGTGCATACCTATCGACTCATTAAATATATTTAAGACAATAATGGATTGCGAAACCATTCACATCGCGAATGGCTGGCTCAACCATCAACTTTGTTCCAGTTGATGCGGCTTTTCGAGACAAAAAGCGTGCAGATTATCTTGCAGATACTGGTTGCCATGGCTGGTCCGTTACTGAAAAGAAGCGAAGTTATCAATGTCATGCTATCTTATGTTATCAAATTCGACGTCACTGCACATTGGGCATTCCCATGCGTGTCCAGTCCTCCAATGCAGCAGCTTCTCCAAAGTTCTTCTACTAATTGTTCCCATGATAAGCTGGTTATATTTTCTCCTATCTCGACCTTGAAGATGGCATAGACGTGCTTCACTCCCATCCCACGCAATCGTGTTAGTGTAAGGGATTCCTCATTATCCACTGGCCCAGTCTGTAAAGCGTTGACGATATCTGCTGTCTATGCTTTTTCCCCACAATGCTTAGTGCAGTGCTTGTCAGTTAGTCAGCTCGCTCATTTCCCTTTACGCCCGCATGACCTGGTGTGTAGATCCAGGTGAGGGAGGTTAAGTGCGATTTTCGAATGCTTTCTACCCATTTAGAGTGCATACCGCCTATTGCTATCTTCTGAAGCATACTTATCGTGAGGACAAACACGGCAAAGGGCACGATTCCTTACCCCTGTCTAGTCTCATGGGAAAAGGGGGGGGGAATGGGGGAGGGAAGTAATCTGCAGCTGCTCCCTAAAAAATATTTCACCAAGGGAACAAGAGGTCTGATTAATCAACACAGAACAGGCGTCAACAGTAGTTTTACACTTGTGGAGCTGCTGTGGAGGAGACCGCAGCAGCTATAGATCTGTCCGAAGGGAGGTGATGATGATCTTTACTAATCGCTAATCTTTTTGTCTGCTGCCACATATCCACGTTGTGACTTTCTTTTGATGTCTACCGCTCCATATCCACGTTGTGACTTTCTTTTGATGTCTGCCGCTCTATATCCACGTTGTGACTTTCTTTTAATGTCTACCGCTCTATATCCAC